TGCATGTTTCGAGTATGGGAAATGCAATATTGGCGGTAATCTGATGGGAGGCCTGTCACTGCATCAATCCAAGTGTCGGGCGACTCGTTGAATGCGCATGTCCATGTTGTCCCCGTCCCTGATCCATCCGGCTTGACCAAAACGGGACCAGTGGGTGCGCCTGGCCAAGCAGCACCCAAGCAGCGCTGCCGAGTTCCTTCCAAGGGCTTGGCGTTATTTCACAGGGCGTCACTGGCCCGCTCATACCTTATGAATGACCCGTCGCCCACTCGACCGTCCCCGCCGTGGCTGCCAGTCTCACACCCACTCATTCTCCCCCGGACCGCACCAAAAGGACGCAGCAGGGCCCTTTGCAGCGACTGCTGACCAAATTTGTGCCAACCACAAACCAGCCGCTGCCACACGACCACTCCCGTCGCCGCCCTTCTTCACCCGCCTCCTCTACTACTACTTCCCATCTTTACTTGTACACTCTTGGTCCAAACCAACAGCAAGACGAGTCGACGACTTCCCGTTCCCGTCCGCCAACCAAGGTCAAGGTTGCACAACCACCAAACCCTCATCCCAACCCCGATTTCCGCGATCCGGCCGATCCGTAACCTACAGCCCTTTGTCTCCATCACCTTACCTACCGCCCAAGGCCCATTCAACTTGAAATCAAGGAGGAAAAAAGGAGAACAAGAAACCGACAACAATACACCTTAGTATCTATTAGCGACCTCGACCAACAACCTCGACCAGCCTGTCATGCGCATGCAGCGACAATAGAATCCCCAAACTTCGATTCAATTGCTCCTCCCCTCACCAATTCGCTAGCGCCCAGTTTCGCTGGTGATCCCGCCGTCCGTTCGCCCAAAATGCAGGACTTTGAACCCATCCTCGCCCCGGCCAAGCCGAAGCAAAAGAAGCTTCCGTTCGGCTGGCCGCCAGCCCTCAAGCTCTCGACTCTCAACCCAGTACCCCAACGCCGGCGGATGCGTAGGAAGTCGACAGCTTCGCAGGATAATGTCGCTGCCCTCAAGACCTCGTTCGACGTATGGGAGAGCATAAAAACTCTGCAAACGCGGAAATGGAAGATCTGGGACATCCAGCATATTGTCTGCTTCGGCTACATCCTCTTCTCGCTGTTCATCTTGCCCTCGGCACCCATCATCAAGACGGCCGTCCTGCTTGCTATCGGCGGTCTGCTTCTGATGCCCATTACCCAGCAATTCTTCTTGCCCTCGCTTCCCATCTGGACGTACTTGCTGTACTTCTTCGCCAGCCGGTAAGTCGTGTTACAGAGCCCCTGTTGGCCCTATGAAGACGAAAACTAACAAACCCGCCCTTGCAGATTTATTGCCCCCGAGTACCGTCCTCACATCTGGGTCAAGGTCCTCCCTGCGCTCGAGAACGTCCTTTACGGAGCCAACTTGTCCAACATTCTCTCGGCCCACAGCCACCCCGTCCTCGATCTGCTTGCCTGGTTCCCCTATGGTATCGGCCACTTTGCGCTCCCCGCCATCTGCAGCGCCATCCTCTTCCTCTTTGCCGCGCCCGGCACCACCCCCGTGTTTGCTCGTGCTTTCGGCTACATGTGCATGCTCGCCGTCACCATTCAGCTGATCTTCCCCTGCACTCCTCCCTGGTACGAGAAGGCGCACGGTTTGGAGCCGGCTCACTACGGCATGGAGGGTTCTCCCGCCGGTCTCGCCCGCATTGACAAGCTTTTCGGCGTCGACATGTACACCACCAGCTTCACCACCGCTCCCCTGCCGTTCGGTGCCTTCCCCAGCTTGCACGGTGCCAATGCCGTTCTCGAGGCCCTCTTCATGCAGTACTGCTTCCCCAAGTTCAAGTACTTCTTCATCTTCTACGTTGGCTGGATCTGGTGGGCCACCATGTACCTCAACCATCACTACGCCGTCGATCTTGTTGGTGGTGGTCTCATGGCTGCTATCGCCTACTACATCTCTCGCGTCAGGTGGCTTCCTCGCCCCCAGCTGGAGAAGCGTACCCGCTGGGAGTACGAGTACGTTGAGTTCGGTGACCGCCCCAAGACCTACGATGAGGAGTACGGCAGCGCCAGCGCCTACGGCCTTGGTCTCCTCGAGAGGCGCACCGCCAGCGACAGCGACGAGTGGACCCTTGGCAGCAGCTCCAGCCTCGACTCCCTGAGCCGCGGCGACACTGTCTGCGGCAGCAGCAGCAGCACTCCCGATATCCTGAGCCCAACAACGCCCAATGACGAGTTCAAGCATGTCGTGCTTGGTTTGACGCCCCAGGGTGATATTTGGAACGGAGGCAGGCTTGCCCGCGAGAGCGAGCTGAGCGATGTTGTTGTCTTGAGCTGAAGAAAGCAAGCTTCAAACACACGTCCTACCTTAGCACTCGTAGGTTCGTCCCGCGGCTCCCGCTTATCATGGCACTCATCACCTTCGTTTCGATGATGCCATGGGTGAGCCGGCGACCTCTCGGAAGCCAGCAAGCACACTACCCGCTTCGACCCAATTCGCGCCTTTGCGGACGCGTAGGGTCAGAGAAAAGGGCACTGCTTGACATGCTTCCGAATTCCTCCCGTTTCCATTTTCCCCTCGCCGAATCTCACCCTCACACGACAGAACGCGTAGTCTGTCGCTGTACGTTGTAATGACCCCCAAGATTTTCGAGACTCTCGTTCAACCATACCACACCCTTTTTGTTTACATATTTTACACCATTTCACGACATTGGCGTTTTTGTTGGGGAACTCACGGCGGGCAAACTATTTTACGTTATTTACACCCTTGGACACAGAGGCGCAACGCGCGGTTTAAAGCGGTCTTTTTTCATCATAAAGAAGCGGTTTTAAAGCGTATTAGAAGGACAACAAACCGGCGATACCCCACACCACATTTCTCTCGTTTATATATACCATCAAGCATACAAGGCTTTGTTTCAGGGGCTCTTTTTTTTTCAGGAATACCGGCGGGCATGGGTGACAGGCAGACAAGGCGAGGAAAGGCAGGCAGGCAGGCAAGGGAGGGCAAGGGAAGGAATTTGGGTGGCAGGGAAAAGAAAATGGAAAGACAAGACGGAGAAGATAAGACTACTCGGTCGCTTTAATAATTCGTTGGATGGGAGAGCGGACATGGGATGGGAAACGGAACAAATCAGTTAATATCCAAGCTTTAATGGTATAGCTAAGATGTATTATGAAGGGGATTCGGGGATGGATGGATATAATACCAACTGTGGATGCGGATACGGAGATGACAAACGATGAGAAAGAAGAAAGAAGAACAGAGTTTATTTAATGATGTGGCCTTTACTCAACTTCATGTCTATGGCTATGGGTTTGTCGTCAGGAAGAGGAAGAAGTGGAAGTGGTGGTGGTTGGATAATGTTCATGTTCATGTTCATGATTGAATAGCATTAATGGTCAGCAGAGCTGCAGGGTTTGGATATAAAGTCTTCATGATGGTATTCATTCTTCCAGAAGTCAAGAGTACCTAGAGAGGGTCTAGAGAATAGAGAGATTATGCGATGGAGAAGGGGGCCTCTAAAGAGGCAGAGGAGGAATGGAGATAATACCAAACGTTACCCACTCCACCATCAGATCCTCCACTTGTGAATTGTTGTGGATTGCTGTGAATTGTTATGAAAGGGGTATCGGAAGGCAGAAGTAAATATGTATTTAATCAACCTTTTAGAGTTCAGGACTTGACCTCACAACCCACGGCCTTTCCTCGTCCAGGCTACCAACTCCCAGTTTTGCCACCGCCGCAAGACGGGTATTGTCTATTCTATAGACTATCTGACTATCCAACTTGCCAGGTGGTGAAAAAAATACTGGTTACCAGTTCCCACCTATTTTGTATGGTGACTGGTAACCCGTATTTCTTTCACCACCTGCTTGCTGTCAGTGACGCCATAGCCTTTATCTCCAATGTCAACATGTCCATCATTTTGCCGTCGTGCGTCCCTTTGACCGTTAGACAGATGCATGTATTGATATCTCCGATTAACGGATAACCTAGTGAGTCGTGGGTGTACAGAGATTTGGGGGTTTGATCATCGTTGACTCCTGACGTGCACGTAGAGAAGGACGAACCCTTCTTTCCGAGTCCGTTCTCTTCTTCTCTTGATCGTTCGTTGATCGTTGATCTTCATCAGTTCATCTACTGTGTGGTACACGCACATCCCGGGTGCCGAGGGAATCGGTGATCCGAGCCCCTTTCTTTTTCGTAATGGAACTCTGTTGATCAAGACGTCATTCTTTGGGCTCCATACCTAGGGCTTAGTAGTGTGGATACTATGTAAGCGGTAGATGGAAAATGGAGTGAAGAGAAATCAGTGATGAAGGGGGGGAGAGGGTCGGCTGTAGAAAAGGGGCCAAGGGGCATACAAGGGAGAACCAGAACAATGTGTTGTTAGAGACAGGTAACGCAGCGAGGCAGGTAAGAAAACGATCGATACACAGGGCAATACTGATTATGTATTCCTCAGCCATCGACCTCATTTGTTACCATCGCTACATTTGAGGCTATCAACGCTACAAAGACATTTACAAACTAATCCATACAATCAACGTCGTGTGTAACAACGTAGCTAACATAAACAATAAACTCACAACCACAACACCACGGAATGTCATCCGTCCGCTTTAGGCCTCCTTAGTCCTCCCGCGTTACTCATTTTGAATAATACCCTCTTCTTCTCTGCAAATCTCGCCACTGGAACCTCAGTGTATCTTCCTCGCTGTAAAACTGCTCAACATCCTCGTTATCAATAATGACAGTTTTAGGCATCCGCGGCTCTGATTTCGTCCCGTCGTTGTTTCCTTCAGGTGTGACTGGGGGTGTGATTGGGGATGATAATTCATGATATCCGAACCACTTCGCGATAAGTGAAGGATCAAGATCATCAAGGTCACACGTCTTACTACGCACACGCAGTGGCGTGGGCTGCTCAAGGCGAGGAAGACGCATGAAGTTGTTCACGCGCTCCAATCGTTGCCCCTCTACCCTAGCCCTAGCTAACTAAGCATCCTGAGCATCCAAGTCCATCCTGTCGACCGTCTCGGCGTGCACCGTCGTGGGCTCATCAGAGCTAACCACCGGTGGTCCCACGAACTGACGACGCGGAATGCTCACAAGGTCCTTGACGTTTTCTGCCCGCACGTAGGCCACGTAGTATGGCTCACCCCTGGTGTTGAGCTGTTCAAATACTTCCTCGGCTGGGTGGGCAGATACCGTGGTGTCGTTGTACTTGCGCCAAACGTTCTCTTCGAAGTCGTAGATCCAGACCCAGTAGTGACCGGCGGCGGCCGTGGTTCCGGCGTGGCAGACGACTGCGTGAAGCCGGTACACATACTGCTGCATGCCATCAAACAGCTTCTCACGCTCGGCCAGCAGCTGCCCCTGTTCCCAGGCAGCTTCAGCTTTAACGCTCGTGATGAAGTTACTGATCTCGCTTGGATCGAGATCGTCACGCTCTCCCTGATCAGGCTCTGGCGCTTCAGGCATCATGTCTGGCTGAGATGACTCAGGCCTGGGCAGGCTAGTATACTTCCCGACAGTGGCATCGAGCTCGGGTGTCAAGAACGATGTGACATCGTAACCTTCTAGTTCCTCCATGTCCTGATCGCTAACGTGAATGAAGGAGTCTAGAAGGCTGTCGGAACTTGTCTCATTACGTGTTATTAAGGGAATCGGGACGGCAGCCTCGTTCTCCTTAGTCTTGGTTTCACGGGACATGAGCTCTTGGAGCCTGTTTCCAATGTTCCAGCTTCTTTGACGGGCCTTGAATAGTGGCGAATCGATCTGGTCGGTGTGCATGAAGCGATCGAGGTATAGCAGCTCGGGGATGATAACAGGATTGGCGTTTTTGTTACGGCCATCCGACCTCGAAATGCAGATGTGGAAATTGGGAGCCGGGTCCTTGATGGTCGTATAGGTTAGAAGTTCTGCACCCACGCTTTCCAGATCGAATGATCTGGACAAAGCATCATACAAGGTAATACGCTCATTCTTTCCGGGATATGCGATCACCCAACGCTCAGATCGTGTAGAGCTGTTCCAAGTACTTTCGCTAGCCTTCTTCCGGTTGTCGACCAGCGTCGAGAAAAAAGGCTTCCTTGATCGGGTCTGGTCCTGGTGTATTCGGATTCCTGAGCGATTCAACCTTGAACGCTGCCCGGAGATGGTCGATTGCGTTGCCCATGACTTCATCGACGTCCATCTGGTCGGAACCGACATTAGGCTTGTCAAGCTCTTCATTAAGCTCTACCACCGTCAATTTCAGATCCCTAGGCCTGTCGATTGCAGTATTGGCAGAATCAGCGACAGGGGTAGACGGGGCAGGTTCATCAGTCATAGTGATATCGTCGCCTGTGCTTTCCCCTTTGCCGGTATTGCAGTCGACAACAATAAATGTCGGGTCATCTTCAGTCTGGTTAACCAAGGTCTGTGAGCTCAGGTTGCTATCCGTCTCCGAGTGCTCTGGTACCGCATCAACCGTAACCTTAGGTTGTTCGTCCGCACCTGATCTGGGAGGCAGTGGAGGAGCCTCCACGGAGATCGGTTTGGACGCGTTGTCAACGGCTCCCTCTAGAGGCTCACTCCGTATCCTGTCGGGCCTGAGCAAAGCTGCATTGGCTAGACGTTGCCTGGGTCTCACGGAGCGTGTTCCGGCGCCCTGAATGTCGCGAAACAGGGAGCCCAGCTCACGACAAACTATTGACACACGTCAGCATGCTTTCGAGGACAAAAATCAGCGCGACAACTCACATTCAGATCCGACGTAAGCCCGGCCAGGGTCAAGTTCAGATGGGTCTAGGCCGTCTAGAAGAGCCCGCATAGCTTCCTGGGTTGGCTCCAAAGGTGTCTGGTCCGCCATCATGACGAAGTTCCTCACGGCTGTGACCGAGTAGAAATACTGAAGGATGCTGTTGAGATAGCATGTATTTCGAAGGTTATCAAGGCCGACAGGAAGTGACATAAACTCTGTCGTATCCTCGAACTGGGCGCCTTGTTGCGAGTTGAATGGGGAGGGTAAATCTGGAGCGCGGAGTTCTGCTAAGACTGTATCAAATTCAGCCCAACCGCTATCGTCCACTACATTCTCCTTTCTCATGGTATCCGCGATCGTCTCACAGACTTTGGTGACCAATCTGTGATCGATGCCGCTCTTGACGGCCTCCCGTGCAACTGCAGCGTAAATCTCCAAGGTGTAGTTTGGCTCGGATTCCAGAAGTGAACATGCCTCGTTGAAATCCATCTCCCCATTGAATACTTCGGCAAGTATATCCGAATCGTCCCTGTCTTTGCCGATTTGGAGAAGGGCGAGTCTGTGACTAGACAGCTGTCCAGGTGACTGCTCTCTGTAAGTTTTGTAAACACCGATAAAGTAGCGGGCGTCTCCATTCGTGTTTGGTTGGAGATTGAAGTGCATATATGCTTTATCGACGTCTGAAAGAGGCCCTTGAATTTGAGGGCCGCTAGGGGCGACAGGACTCTCATCCAGACTGAAGACGTACATCTGGAACTCTTCACTCCTGTAGCCAGCCAAATTGGCAAGCGCAGCCCTGTAAGTGTCCCTGTTCGCCGGATCGACATTCACCTGTTGGAGGAAGGCATACTTGAGCACCTCCTCATCCGACTGTTCGGATGCTCCCAAGATGCGGAAGTATTGGGCCTCTTCAGAGTTTCGCGGCGACCGGTTCTCGTGGCTGCGAAGCCAGTCCGATATGAGAATCTTGTCCAGCCACTCCCTCGCATCAATCGATGCTCCCACGACGGGCAAGTCCGGCCTTGGAGGGCTCTCTGCTAAAAAGCTTTGCACTTCGCTTCTGACATTCTCGAGGAAAGCACGTTCTGAGCCCTGGGGTGTTCGAAATGATGAAATGGGAAGCCGAGGGGGTACCCAGAATTTGTCCTGGCTTGCGATATCCACTTCTTCCGTGAAGCCGAGATAGAGGAATATGTCGGCACATGCTGGGCCAAACTGGACTGAGAAGGTCCTGTTGCGGCTGGCGATGCGCTTTTGCGGGGCCTTCCAGTCGTCCTCGAGTATGTTTTTAATATACATGTTGAGGGTCTGCAAGGGAGAACTGGCATAGTTTTCCTCCTTTTCCGGTGTTAGGTCGCCGTAGCGTTCCGGCTCTTCCTTTTTGGCAACCGCCAACGCGTTTCTGATCCTGTCCTTATCCATGATTCGGCTGATCCAAGCTGTTTTCAGGTGCGGCCGCAGAATGTCGACAGAAACAGTTTGGCTGCAGAGGGAGCAGATGTGAGTAGTAGTGCCAGTTGCACGGGGATAGAACTTTGACGTCTCGCGTGAAGGAGTCCGACTATCTTCCGAAGTATAGGCAACATAGTGGTGAGCTTGTCCGGTATGGAACTGGCCGCATGCGTCCTGGGGAATGTTATATGTGATAACGAAGTGGTGACGGCAAAACTTGCACATACAGCTTATGGCAAGGGGTGTGAGCTGGGCTCGACCATCGTAGTCGATGCCATGGCTTTGGGAGCGGATAATGACCAGTTCGTGGAGTCGGCTTGGTGAGATATCCCGGCGTGAAGGGTCTCGCAAAGAATAGCAGTCAAAGACAGGATCACCCTCACGGAAAATGCCCTTAAACAAGTCGTGAAGCCAACGTGAAGCCAGGCGACCTGCTTTGGGGGGAGGCGGCGGGGTTGGGTCCAAGGCCACTATGACAGGAGGTCAGTACTAGAGCAGAAGTTGGGAGGCTTAAGAGTAGGATGATCATAGTACTTTTGGGCTCCTAGAACAGCGTTATATCACCCTCTGATGCGATGAACCTGGACTTGTTTGCGTAAAACCAGTGGGTTTCCGGCGAGCGCTGATGAAGTGATACCTATATGGCGGGGTATATGTGACGGTGTTGACACCGGAGAGGACGGCAGGCTAGGTTGATGATGATGCAATCTAGTCGTGAATAAACCGATAATTGAAGGGTATTGAGTGTTGAGTACGTGGATAATGACCGGTGTTCCCAGTTATATGTCCTTGCCGATTAGAGGTAGCCACAGAACGATGGTCGTCGAAGTGTCCTGTTGACGAGTGACGAAAATGGCTGGGTTGGGTATGGTGAGTAGTTGTGGACCGTCACCAAAGCCAGGCACAGCAATACTGTTGTTCGTTGCTAGTCGACGCGGTAACGGATGGAGGGACGGAGGGGTGGGCGCCTTATGATGGAGGTACCTTTCGGTTGGTAATTCAAGGCAAAGAATGAGACTTGGAGCAAACACGGATGACGCGGTTGATGGCCGTTGTCTGAAGTGGAAGTGGACTTAAGCGCTCCTTGTCTGCGTCAGTCTAGCCAACGAGTTCTGGCGGCAGGCGGCAGGCGGCATTCTCTTGAATGAAAATGGGGAAGGTGTTGTCGGGATAAAGGAGACGAAGTTGGATGGAAGCTTAACAGTTGACAGAAGAAGCATCTATGTATCCAGTCTCGACTGTGACGTGGGTACTGAGTAGGTAGTTCTCCAGGCAAGTCACCCAGTAAATTACAATATTGCGCTTGTGACAACAACAAATTCATCAGATCAAAAGAACCGGTTTCAATGAGAAGCTCGACTTGGAAGGAATAGAACCATGAGCTAAAACAAAACAATGTCTCTCTTTCGACATGATATGGAAGTTGAGGTGAGACTGTACGAGAGCTGGAGAGCTAGAGCTAACACGCACGGACCATATGTCAGCTACCGTCGCAGCAGCTGCCAGACCCAAGCACCTCAGCCTGAAGTTAGGGCAGTCGCACTCAAATGCTCGCTGCTCGGGCAAGCACCACGGCACCGCCGAACTGCGGCTCTGTCCACTGTAGCGCAATCGACTGCCTGTGAGGCTAGGTCCATAGCCCGTCGCATTGGACGGCACCACCAATCAATTGCAAGCTCCAAGTACTCCCGTCTCGAGTCTCGACATCACATTCAAACCACCACGGGCACCCAAGGCCACGCCGACGACATCACACCAAGCCCACCACACTCCCTCGACCACAACCGATTCGTCCTCAAAGATGGCGCCTCAAGAGGACGACACCGTTTTTCGGCCCAAGGACGCCATCAAGTCCAGCCTCAGTGGCGCCGTCTACAGTGGTGGAGCCGGTCTCTTGATCTCTTCGCTCCGCACCTCCATGAAGAAGAACAACGTCGGCAGCATGCACGTTTTCACCCACGGCGGCGCCACCATCATCAGCTTTGGTACGACATGACATCAATTCAATTGCGCGGCCCTGCGCGACAACGATTGACCGACTGACTGACTGACTTTATCTCTCTCTAAAGCTTTCGCCGGTGGTATCTACAAATTCGCCCAACAGGCCTCGGCGAACCTGCGCCAGAAGGAGGACGCCTGGAACCATGCGATCGGCGCTTTCCTCGGTGGAAGCGTCATGGGCTTGCGATGTACGTACATACATTACGAGAGAGGAGGAAGAGAAAGACGAAACCACCCCCGACCCTGTTTATACACAAATCCCCATACCATGCGAGCCGGCGAGCGAGTGGTACCCCCGTTGCGCGGGCGGGAACGGAATACTCCACTTGCGACCCCAGACTACACGACTCATGTTCTTGCTTCCTTGCGCTTAGTACATGGTACCTACAAAGACAACATAACTAACTTGGATATACTTCAAAACAAACAGCCCTTCGCTTCCCCGTCATCCTCGGCTTCGGTGCCCTGGCCGGCGCCACTGTCGGTACTTTTGCCTTCACCGGCGGCACTCTTTGGGCTACAAGAGGGACCCCAACGTCGACGAGTACGAGAGGAAAGAGGCCATGCGCCTGAACAGGAGGAGGCCGATTGAGGAAACCCTTGCGGAAGTTGGCGAGGGTCGTGGTAGGTCAAATCGAACAAAACCCCTAGGGATGTCTCTTATCCATGAACAGACCTGCTAACAAAACAAACCCCCTATCAAAGGTATCTACCCACCCGGCTACCAAGAACGCCGACGTGCCAGACTCCTTGAGAAGTACGGAGTCGAGGTTAAGCCTGTCTCTGCGGATCCCAACGTTGCTTCTCCTTAAGCGAGGCATGGAGATGGAAAGAAAGGTTTGGAGAAGATACAACCATGAAGATGAGGTGATGATCATAGGCAAGATACAAACAGAGCCCTGGCCTGGCAAAACAGGACCGGCCTGGAGGCGAAGCAGAGAAGAGTCAGAGACAGACACCAAGGAAGAACAGGATGGGCTTTTTTGTTACTTCTTCTACATACGTCCTAGGGGCAGATGGAGGGAGGACAAAAGAGCAATGGGGAAAACTGTACCATACCATCCAATAACATGTTCTCCTTCACATCAGTATTATGGTCAATCATAGGCCGTTTCAAAGTAAGAGACAACATGAGCCTGGGTTCTGGTTTGAGTCATCAACTCGATGGTCAAAAATACCCATCCCTCTCCCAGAACGAGACACCTCAAGGGCGGGGACAGTACTTGTTGACTGGCAATGGTAGGTGGAAAACGCCAACAACGAAGCGTCTATGTCTTGGCGGGCGAAGGGGGTTGCTTGGATATCGGCTCCTGAGCATTGGGACGGACTAACTTATTACTGTGTACTAACGAACCCAAGTTCGCAAGAACGTCGAACTAAAAATCAAAATCCAACGCCCAACAATCAAGAACGAAGAACCAATGGCGAAAATGGAACGACACCGACAACGGTCTGGTTCGTACAGATGGGAGCATAGGTACCAAATTACATCGATAGAGAAAGGTCTTCCCGGGCTTGCAACACAGAATACAAAGAGTTACAAACCTCTAGGAAGGCAATTACTCAATGGCCGTCACTAAGGTAACTCGAGTTGATACGTCGAAACAGCTTTACATGTGAAGAGACTGAAACAGATAGACAGAGATATGGGTTAAGTAGTTGTAGAGATAGTGATGGAACGACGAAATGACTGTGAAGAGAGAGGCGAGGAGAGAGGCGAGGAGAGAGGGGAGGAGAGAGGCGAAGAGAGAGGCGAAGAGAGAGGTGAAGAGAGAGGTGAAGAGACGGTAATAGACGGTGATTGTGACGGTGGAAGGGTGCATACCTTCCGTCATTGCAACCATATAAGCCACTTTGAGCGACCGAACTACCAGCTTC